GAGGCCGGCGACGACTGGTACGACCAGCTCCGGTCCGACGACGAGGAGGAGATCGACCCCGAGCAGCTGCTCCTCGCCCTCACCGCCCAGCAGCAACAAGAGGCAGAAGAGCAACAAGAGCAAGAGCAAGAGCAGGAGCAGGAGGTGGAGATCAACAAAGACTCGACTGCGTCGGACTGAGCCACCACCGCCACCTTGTACACTGTATGTAGCTATATATTTATTGTTTTAAACCACACGCGCACACGACGCACGCGTTCGCTTCAGCGACTCGATCAGGCCTGGGCGGGACGGAGGGCGAGCGTGCGGTCGCCGAGCACGATCTCCCCGACGTTCTCGAGGAGGGTTGTCTGATCGGCCGCCGTTCTCAGCTCCACAAAGGCTCGTCCCGTGCTGCTCTTCTTGGCCCTGTGCGCACACGACCCGACACACAGTGAGTGTCATGTCGTGTGCGGTGGTGGTGTGTATCGTGTCGTGCGTTGCGTGTCGTGTGTCGTGTGCGGTGCCAAACCTGGCGCTTTGCTTGGGCTTGCGGATGAGCTTGACGTCGTCGATGGCGATGTTGAGCCGCTCGCCAATCCCGCGGAACAGCTCGATGAGGTCGTCCTCCGTCACATCGAACGGGATGTTGAACACGATCACCCGCGTCTTCGACTCCACCTCGGCCCGCTCGTCGCACTCGATCGGATGCGGAACGAACGACGGCGGAGGCAATCGAACGGCCGTCGTCGTTTCGGGCTCGGCCGTCGACGACGCTTGCTGGAGGGGGATGGCGTAGCGAATGTCGAATGGCGTGTCGTTGGCGCCGAGCCGGCTGATGAGGTAGATCTCGGTCACATCGAACTCGATCTCCTTCCACTCCTTCTGCCACTCGACCATCTTCTCCTCGACCTCCCTCTAGAGGTACAGAGTCGAGAGAATGAGCGACGAGGTGGGGAGGGGAAAGAGAGAAGGCGAAAAGAATGAAGGAAAGAAAAGGGCGCGTACGGCCTTGCGGAAATCGTTGGCGACGCTGAGGTGGGGCGTGAAGCCATGCTCGCCGATCTGGGACTGATCATTGCAATGCGGGAACACTCGCTCGAGCTCCCCCTGCAGTCGCACCAGCGCTCCCTCCGGCTGATGTGTCACGCACACGCACACGCACACGCACGCACACGGCACATAACAAACAGTTCAGCTCGAAGGTGAGCGAGAAGGACCAGATGAAGCAAAGGCGCTCTACCTCGGTCTCGGGCTTGAGCCACACGGTCCAGCTTCGGTGGTGCTTGAAGAAACTCAACTCGCGCAGTCGCACCCGAAAGGCCGGGAACGACGCCAGGGCCTCGCTGCACACGCCACCTATGTCAATTTGGGCCGAGGCCGAAGGGCCAGCAGGCGTCGTCAGCAAAGGACCACCACACGAACCGGAGCTTCTGGGCGGCCTCTGGGAACTGCTGGTTGGGCACGAACGGGTAGATCATGTTCACGTGCGGCAGCCATCTGACGATGACGATGACGAAATGTAGAACGGTCAAGTCCCGCACACGGCGCGCGGCGAGGTTGGTGGTGGGTTGCGTGACGAGGTTTACCTTACGAAGCCGGTGTCGTGAATGCGGCGGATGGGCTTTGGAGGGCCGGCCACGCCTCGATCGGCGGCACCATCACGATCGAACTCCTGTACGACTTCCTACTCACACGGAAAAA